GAAATATTCAATGGAGAAATATGTTAATATTACATAAACTTTTCCAGGACACATAAAAGGTGGGAATACTTACCTACACACTTTATGATATCATGCCTTTTTACCAAAAGCAGTTAAAGACTTTAATACAATAAACTGTCCAGCTTTATACCTTGTGAATATTGATGCAAAATTCTTAGTAAAATATTGTTAAGTTGAATCCAAATTAAAAGGATGATACACAGTAAAGTTTATTTCAGGGATGCAGGCTTGGTACACTGTTCAAAAACAACAATTCATTATATCAATAGCCTATTTACCTAAATAGATGCACGAAAAGCATAGTACACAACAAACATGAAAATTAACTGAAAACATTTCACAAACCTAACTTTAAAATTCAGGTCTTACTAAATCTAAAACTATAAACATTTCAGAGAAAAGAAAAAAATTATTTAATTTTGGCAAATATTTTTTGATAAATCACCAAAACTATAATCTAAAAAAGAAAATGTTAAACTTGACTTTATCAAATTAACAACTTCAATTCTTCAAAAGAATTAAATGACTACACAGACTACATGAGTATAATTACAAGTTGTATTATCTGATGAAAAACTGGTGTCCAGATATTTAAATATGCTCAGACAACAAAAATAAGAAAACAAATTTACCAATTAAAAGAAAGGTATAACAGTTACTTTGCCTTTGAAGAGATGATGGAAAAAATAGACACAAAAAAATATTCAACACCGTGAGTCATTAGGAAAATGCATATTAAAATCACAGTGATGTATGCAGTATACCAATTGGAATGACTAAAATTTGAAAAAAATCAATAACAAACTGATGATAAATGCTGGCAACAGTATGGAGCCATTAGAACTTGCACATACTGCTGTTGGGAAAGAAAAATAGCAGAAGCACTTTGAAATACAATTTTGACAGTTTCTACTGAAGTTAAGATGTGTTTATCATAATCAGACAATCTCTCCTTTTTTATTTCCCAAGAGAAGTGAACTCCTATACTCAAAACACTTTTAGGCAAATGCAGAAGTTTAACTGGTGAACACTGAATCTGTTGGTAACTCAAATGTACTTCTGCTGATGAATGGATAAACTGTTGTATAACCACAGAATTACTTATTATTTAGCAAATGAAAATGAATCCCTGATACAAATAAGATGGATGAACTTCAAAAACAACAGTCTAAATGTATTGGCTACCTAACACTTGACTCCATTTATATAATATTCTGGAAGTAGCAAAATTGTAGCAAGCTATCTGAGTGAAGGGAGTGGGTTCAACACAGAGGTAGAAGAGGGAAGTTTTTGGTTGTTGGAAACATTCTGTATCTTGACTGTTACGGTTGCCCAACTGTATTCGTGCATCGAAGTTCATATGTCTATGTGTTTTAAAGGCTCACATTACTGTATGTAAATTATACATCAATGAAGCAGACTATAAAAAATGCTGAAATCATCATTCTAGGCTGTACATATAGATCACATTTTCCTTACTCTAAAAAAAATTTTTAAACTCATCTAAAACAAAACATATACACTCTTTGACTATCACTGTTATTTCTGGGGAATTCTTACACAAATGTTGATCAGAAGCACACACATTAGATACATATAGAAGCATAAATGTAAGCCAAATCTGTGCAATGTAGACTGTTGAATTAGGAAAAATTACCAAATTAATGTATTAAACAATAAAAGAATCTAAGACAATCATTAAGAGACTATTTGTTCTTTGTGTGTGATTTCCTAAAAGGCCTTAGTTTTTTCCCAATTTTTATTTTCATTAGTACATGCTTGTAGTACCTAATGATTACATTCTTCATTAGGAGTTGATACATAGACATAACATACCTTAATTCTCTTTTTCAACACCTTTCCCTGTCCTCTCTCTCTCCTCCCTCCATCTCTTCTTCCTCATCCCATTTGCAAAAGATCTATCTCCCTATTTCCTATTATTTATCTTTTGACTTTTATTTGTATTTTTGGCTCCTCATAAAAAATACACCCTTCAATACTTAAGCTAATGTGCTTAGATTAATTATATACATCCATTATGAGTATTGTGCTTTTAAACTGCTATCATTTAGGGATTTAAAAAAAAAAACAGGAGAGGAGAAAAGAGAGAAATTATCAGCACAGAAAAAGTAGAAAATACATACCTGAGTTTATACAGTGGAATAATATTCAGCATTAATAAAAAGAAGGATTCTTTGTAGTATTCTCCATGTGGTCTGGGTTTTGTTCATGAAATCTTTGCCTACACCTATGTCTTCAAGAGTTCTACCTATTCACCCTTCCAGCAAAGTTAGTATTTCTGTTTTAATATTTAGAACTTTGAACCATTTTGACTTTAGTGCATGGTGAGAAACATGGGTCTAGTTTTAGTCTTTGGTTTGTGGAAAGCCAATTTTTCAAGCATATTTATTAAAGAGGCTATCTTTCTTCCAGTGAACCTTTTTGGTCCCTTGTCAAAGATAAGGTGGCTGAGTTTGATTGGAATTGTTTTTGTAACTTCTAATCTGTGCCACTGATGCTCTGGTCTGTTTTTGTTGGTTGGTTGGTTGGTTGGTTGGTTGGTTGGTTTTCTACCAATAACATGCTGTTTTTATCACAGTAGCTCTGTAGTATAATTTCAAGTCTTGGATTGTGATGCCCCCAGCCTTGCCTTTGTTGCCTAGGGTTGTGTTTACTATTATATGTCTTTTCCAGTTCTAAATGAATTGTAGGAACATTTTCTTTAGTTTTGTATGGTATGTCAATGGTATTTTCACTGGGGTTGCATTAAATTTGTATAACAATTTTGGAAGTATACTCATTTTCACCATATTGTTCCTTCCTACCTGAGAACAAGAGATATCTTTTCATTTTCTGACATCCTCTTTGATCTCCTTTTTCAGAATACTCTAGTTTTCAATATAGGGACCTTTTACTTCCTTTGTTAAACTCATTCCTAAGTATTTCATTTTTTCAATGCTATTGTGAAAAGTGTTATTTCTATAATTTCTCTCTCAGGGTTTTGTTGTTTGTGTCCAGGAATCTATTGATTGTTGAGTGTTGACTTTGCATCCAGGTATGCTACTGAATTTAGTTACTAAATCTATAAATCTTTTAGTGTTTTGGGGGTCTTCTATGTAGAGTATCATGTCATCTGCAAACAATGATACTTTAACTTCTTATCTTCCTATTCTTATTTCTTTTATTTCTTTCTCTTATCTAATTGCTCTGGCTAATGTTTCAAGAGCTATATTCAATGGGAGTAGTGATAATGGATATCCTTGTCTTGTTCCTGATTTTAGAGTGAAATCTTTCAGTTTTTGACAACTTAGTGTGATGTTGGCTGTTGGATCTCACCATATTAAAAAGCTTTTTCACAGCAAAAGAATTTACAAAGAGAGTAGAAAGACAACCTACAGAGTGGGAAAAAATTTAAGCCAGTTGTCCTTCAGACAAAGGTGTAATACATAAAAATGTATTCTAATACATAAAAAACTGAAAAAATCAATTGCACCAATTTAAAGACCCAATCCAAAAGTGGGCACCTGAGATGAATATAAACTTCTTAGAGAAAGAAATACAACCATCAAATAAATATATGAAAAAATGTCCAATGTCACTGGTCATTCAAAAGATGCAAATTAAAACAACACTGAGATTTCATCTCACTCTAGAAAGAATTGCTGTCTTCAAGAAATCAACCAATAACAAATTCTAGAGGGGCTGTGGGGAAAAAGGAACCCTTCTCCGTGGTTCATTGGAATATAGACTGGTGCAACCACTGTGGAAATCAGTGTGGAGATTTCTCAAAAACTAGGATTAGTTTGACTGAGCTATTCCCTTTCTGGGTGTCTTCCTGGAAGAATTCAAAACACCATATCACAGTTACATATGCACACCCATGTTTACAGAAGCACAGTTTGTAATAATAGTTAAATCTTGGAAACAAGAACCAAACCAAAGAATGAATAGAAAAGATGTGATTTTTTTTTTTTTTTACAGTGGATTACTTCTCAGCCTGAAGATGAATAAACTTGAGACATTTCTAGGTAGATAGATGCACCTTGAAACTGTACTCTTAATGAAATAAATTGGATACACAAGGGTAAATATTGCCTTCTCTGGTGTGAGGAAACAAAAGTGTAAATAAGGGCCAAAGTATATAATAGGCACTGTGAAACAAGAAGAAGTTGTTCAAAAGAAATGGGAACTAGGGAGGAGGAAGGGAAAAAAGAGAAAAAAAGGAGAAAAGGAGAAAAAATTGAAAGCAAAGCTCCATAAATAAGGAGAAGAGAGGCTGAAGGGAGGTAAGGGCAATGGGAAAAAAGGAATCAAGATATATATAATGTACAGGTACAAATTCCCTATGATGAATGTGATCCTTATGTGTATCTAAATTATACCATTAAAATTTAAAAATTAAAAGAGAAAAAAGAAATTCTGTCATTTGTGACAACATAAATGAATTAGAAGGACATTATGCTATAAGAAATAAACCAGACATAGGAGGATGAATACCACACAACGTCCTTACTATATGGGATCTAAAACAATCAAATTCATGGATGCAGAAAGTCAAATGGTGTTCACAGAGGTTGAGTGTGGGAGGAATGGGAACATAAATGCACCACATTTCGTTTAGATGGGAAGGAGTAAGTTTCTTTGAGATTGACTGTTCATCATGGCACTATCAATAATAATCTACTGAATATCTCAAAATTGTTGAGTTACCTTAAGTGTTCTCACCTCAAAAATGTTAGGTATTTAAGTAATTGACATATTTAATTAGCTTCATTTGACCATTCTACATTAGATATATGTGTATCATAACTTCATGCTGTGTCCTATAACTATACACAATTAAAATTTCTAATGATAAAAAGTGAGAAGGTAAATTCATACTTGATAACATTTGCCATTTTAGAAAAATTGATTTGAATAAGGATGAGAAGACTTCATTTTATGTAAATTTATATATTATTTTATTTTAATGGCCATAGGTTACTTTTGTGAACAACTAAAATCTAATGTAATAAAATAATTAAATGAAATACCTTTTTGAGTATTACACCAAATACAGTTCATATTAATGAGGTAACTGAAAAGAACTTTTGTTGATATTTATTATCAAGCTAGCTTTAATTTCTTAAACTACACATAGCAACATGATCTGCAGCATAGAGTCAACCCCCTCAGAGCAAAGGCTAGTTCTACCACTATTAGCAGTGTGACTTTGGATGAATTACTTCTGTTTCAAAACTCTCCTTTGTAAAATGCAGATAATGCTTATGGTATCTAATTCATTCAGGACTTTATGAATATTAAACATTAGTGTGTTTAAAGAACTAAGTACAGTATTTGATACATAGTAAACAGCAAATTGGTGTTGGGGTTCTGACGTTTGACAATCATTCTCCTTCTAAACTTTGAAGTAAAACAGAAGTTATTATTATAATTGCTTCTAATAGATTATTAAAATCTAAGAATCTAAGCAAATTTCTTTTATTTCTTTCTGTCATTCAAGTGAAAGTAATAACCAAAATCTATAGACAGAATTCTCTAGCACACTGCTTTTACAAATAAAATTCTGACAAAACTGTAGTCCCGAAATTGTTTCTCTACAAAAAGGAAAAGGTATGTTTTTTGCTTGTAATTCAAGCTGAATATTAAGTCTGATACTTTTTTCCATTTTCTTTACTTCTTTGTCCAAAATTGTGCCCAGGTGCAGAAAAGGGTTTGAGTTAGTAGAAGGGAATTCACTGCCATCTAAACTCCATATGGTCACAAGAGATACCAGAAAATGAAAGAAGGTTCAGTCAAAAAGATACTTGCAATAAAACTGAATTTTTAAAGCTACATCTGTCATATTATTTGTGCCACATGAATCATTTGGTTGCAGTGAGGACAAAAGCAACTTAGTGCTGGGACGGCAGCATGTGTGTGTGTGTCCATCTGTGTGTGTGTGTGCATGCGTGTGTGTGCATGTGTGTGTGTGTGTGTGTGTGTGCATGTCCATGTGTGGATGTGCCTGTGTGTCTTTCTCTAAGAGTCTATGCTATTCTACCCAGGAGCTGCAAAGTGAGGTTGGCCTGTGCAGATAAAATGTAGTACTTCACAACTGTAACGCTCGAGTTTAGTCCCCATGGGAAGGAAATCGTTTGTATTTGGAGTTGTCTTTGTTGACATTTTCCTGTGGCTATGAAAAAAGGGTTTTTTAAATCTTTTTCCAAATTAGCTCGTCTTCTTTTTCCCTCCTCCCCTCACTTGTCACTTCCAATGACAAGAAAAGAAACTTTCAGGACAATAAATGCAGCCGAACCATGAATAAAAATAAAATGGAATTGCTCTGAGACTCGTATGGTGTGGCTACAGCAAAGCAGATCCCGGAGAGCTGGAGTCATAGCATCCTGAGCATCTGCAGCACTCCTCCTTGGAGAGCGCATACTAATCATCTCTCTTCATGGTCAGTAACCACATAAGGACAACACCAGACGATGCCAGTGGTTTTGGTCCTGTAACATTTATATGCTTCCCCACAAAGATAGTCATGCCAGATAATATTCGTCAACCTTGTCCTTGGTCTTCTCTGCTGATTGAGGCAGATGTTTATTTTCCATCTGTACTATATGTCAGTGCAACTGCAGCCTTCATCTGGCAAAGGGTGCCTGTGATATTATGAGGCCATCACATAAGCTGCTGGAAAGATTACTCTGGTGAATAAAATCAGTTTATGGCTAAAAACATTTATTCTTCATTTTGATAAGCTCTTAACAAATGGAAATTTGCTTTCTTACACTTTTGCCAAGCATAGGACCATGTTTATTTCTCGCTATATGGGTCACGAAGGATTCCCAGCTGTTAGCTAGAGTCAGTTGTGCATTGCTGCACTCAACAACATCTGTTTCACAAAAACAGTATCCAGCTTTTAGCACTCAAATGGAGGTTAGACCATATGCCGGCAGACCACTTAGTTTTTACCTTGGGAAACAACTTTACTCCAGTCAAGGTAACAGAGGAAAAGCTGAATATTTAAATGTTACCAGGCTTCAGTCACATCTTCATATGTGCTTGTCATTTCCCACTATATATACTGAAATTATTTCCAAGCATATACTGCAAGCTGTTCCTCTGTTTAATTATTAATCGGAAGAAAGTTTGTTTGCAAAACAATTGAAATGTATTTTGTGATCAACACTGTTGTTGAAAGTTGTGCCTTTAGATGATTTTGCAAGTAGGGCATCCAGGTGAAATGCCTGTACTTGTTAGCTACGGACAGAAGCCAGTCAGGCTGCTGGCCTCTAAGTAATGAGTGATATAACAGAAAATGGCAGAATATCAAACATCTCATGTTACAAAATTCTCTTCACCGTTTGACTCTTCTCTTGGTTTCCATATGTTAATGATTATAATTTAAATAAAACAAAAAATAAAATTTGTACCTTGAGTCTATTTTACAAAAAACTTGAAGAAACATGTTCAAATTTGTGTTCAACGCAGATTAAAATTCACATGGGTTTTCAAATTTCTATCCTCGTTGGCAGTCTCCAAATCCTTACAAAGATACCTCACTTGTTTCCTCGAAGTGTAGCAGTAGTTTACCAACACTGATAATCTCATGCATGATCTTAGAATTTTTCCCATGGATGGAGAATATGTAAGAAAGAATATTAACAAATACTGGAATTCCATGTCTCAGTTTCCAATTTTCTTCATTCTGAAAGTGAAGACATTTAGTTCTATGTATTGCTATAATCCAAGAGCTTATATTTTACAATAGTATATAACAATTACTCAAAGAATATTTCTTTTCTTTACCCCATGGATATAAGTATTATTTTTAAAGGATTTCTTTAATGCCTCATAGACACTAAAAGATTTTCTTAACTCAAAACTATATGAAATCAGAGCATCAAGAAGCTCTTATCCAGACCTTGATTGGGGATCATCTTCAGTCTTCTGATTCCATTTTCAATGAAATTAAGAAGTATGTTTATCTCAAACTCATTCTTCACAGAGACTCCAGAACAATCCAGCTGAAAACCATTCAGAAATAACCATCTCTAATCATTATATTGTTTTGTTTTGCTATCTATAAATTTAATTAAGATTACAAATTCATTTCTGGATTAATTGCATAACTATAAAGCAGAAATAAGATGGATTATTCACATCTGTAGGCCATACTTATTCTTAAACTTGGTAACATTCTACTTTTTAGAATTCCACCTTTCAAAAGGTAAGCCCAGACTAAAGCCAGACAAAAATGTGTATCTATCCAAGTTTATCTTTGGTCCCTCCCTCTATAATTGAGCTTTCTCCTTTTCTTGACACCTGAAGTTAACTATTTTTAAATTACATCCAAAGAACTTCACTTCACTTGGTTATCAACAAAATCTTTCTGAAACATTTGCTAGTGAAACTCAAGTCATCCATTTCATTCAGAAATAGTTTCATTTTGTAAATAACCTCGGGAAGGAGGAATGGTGGAGATGACAGTGAGCATGGTAATCAGTGATAAATAACCCTGTTCATAAACTTGGCTCTCTTAACAAGTACCACAATGAGCCAGTATGAACTTAAGCTGTCCACAGCTCAAACATTTGTTTATACCAAATAGAAACTGTGGCATATCAATGTCCAGTAAGCCAAGGCAGTAGAAATAAGTAAATCTTATAACAGATTCAAGCCAGGAACTGGAAAACAGAAATCAAAATCATTCTTTCTGTCTCTCTGAGGCAAGGGGACTACTGGCTGTCTCTGAAGCACAGCATGTGCCTTGCCAAAAACACTGCAACAGACATGCCCATGCACGGCAGGAGATGATTGTGCAGCCCTTGACTTTATGCAACTTCAGTCTCCAATACCAATAGGGTTCTAATTCCAAACTGTAAGGAGAAATTACTGATTGGCCAATTTCTGATTGGCCCAAGTAGAGTCACGTGTCTAACACGGGTGTATTTAAGTTGGCCAGTGGGGCCGCGATCGTGGAAAAAACATAGAAGCTATGTGTGGCCCTCCGTTAGGGGTTGTAAAGAGCACACTGTTCTCAGATATAAGGCTGTGACCAGAAATGATGAAGCTATGGCAATTAAAGAATAGCATGTGCACTGTACCTCAGGGAATTTATAAAATCAGTAATGACCCTCACTTTTTTTCAAGTGCAGAGCTATACGGAGAGACAGAGTAGTACTATGTAAACCAAGCTTATAGAGAGAGCAGCTGGGACTTGAGGATGTGATTGTTTTTATTGCAGCTCAATTATTGGTTAGTAAGGACCAGAGAGAGAGACAGAAAAAAAAAATGGAGGGAGACATGAAGTCCTTGTAGCAATTTTGGCCTCCAGCATAAAGATTTACAAGGCAACTGCATGATTAGGATGTAACTCAAGCAAAATAAAACCATGCTCTTTAATTCCCATTGGCGTAATCTCACTCAGTCCCAGGCAGCCATCATGTGATTAACTTCCTCAATTAAAAAGCAAACTTTCAACTCATAGTACCTTTTAGCCATGTTATAAAGAAAGACAAGCTTTTCTACTCAAATATATCTAAATTAAAAATGCCTGAAATGGACCCATGAAAAAAGTTAACAAACTCTATAGACATCACTTCCTTTTAGTTTCCAAAAACTTGATACTCTCTGTTTTTGGCTTAAATACATCATCTGGCTAATCTTAAGTTTATTGAATTCAAAAGCCTTTCAGAGGGATGTGGCATTCTTAGAACTGTTTTTAAATATGACTCAGTAAAGACATTCATATAAAAACCACTTAGTTGTTATGCACTCATTGCCTTATATCAATTTATTATTTAAATTAACAATTAGGTGCAATCAAAAGAAAGAATAAAAAGCAAGAGACAATCTAAAATAACACTTGCAGGTTTCTAGGCTTTTGAAAAGAACACTGGGAAATATTAGTCATTATCTGTTAATTAAAAAATAATCTTACTTTCTTAAATAAAAAGAATTCATAAATGTTTGTCTTTAAATAACTAACAGAGACTGAGAGTAACTTTTTAAGAAGATTAACAAAGTGATTTCTTTTTTATCATCTCTCATGATTGTGCAATGCTTTGAGTATACTTACCCTTCATTGTTGACTTAAACTAGGATTGGTGTGTATCATTGGCTTTCTGTTCTTTTGTATTTTCAAACACAGAGGAAATCTTCCAGATGTTCATCATGAAAATCACAAAACTTGAAAATGAAGGGAGGTGTTACTAAGAATTATTTCAGGACAACTGATGTAACTGGGATAGCATTACCTTACTTATAGAGCACTTTGTAATCTTTCTCTCTGGTTGTAACTGAAGAAAATGGTCCATAAGCTCTTTCAGAAGTGTTTTGATAGAATCAGTGTTTTTCTTTGTAGTCTGCATTTGAAAAAGATTTTATATATATATATTATATATATACCAACACAACAGGTTTGAGAAACTACATTGTTTGCCATTAACATAGACTGCTAAAGACTTTCACAACAAACATGTCCTTGAACTTTGACATGGTCACCTATTTCCTATTTGTTATTCATTTATAGGATAATTATGGAGAATTTCCTGTACTTGGGATGCGGTGATTAGCTGGGCTGTGTGGAGAATAGTTCAAGAAACAAGGAAACAAGAGAACACCTTGGAGTAGCACCAAGCCCTGGTATGTGGGTGAGACAGAATTTGAAGGATGGCTTTTTCAAGAAAAATGTGATGATGAATTTGCTGTGTACATCCACGTACACAAGGGTAGACAGTAAGAAGGGGCATCTATGAAGATGAGCTATAATCTGGGGAAGAAAGTGGAGAAAGAAGAGTATGCAAGCCTTGAAAATAGACTAAAGAGACGTGAATGCAGTTTCATGTGTCTGGGGCATTTGCAATGAAGGAGAATGTAAACAGATTACAGATATTCAAGGAAAGAGAAGGAGACCAATTTGAAGCCTGAAGCTTAAACTAGGTAAAAAAGCATGATATAAATTAAGGAAAGACTAATGAAAATGCTGGACCATGGAAACTCAAGGAACTTCCAAATTCCACTGCACAGTATCTACCTTGGGCAGAAACAAAAAGAATATCCATTCCCAACTGTTTAAATCTTTTAAATTATGTAATTTTTGCCTGTCTATTCTAATTCATTCAGCTGCAAGGGCAAGTGTTCTGCTGCCAGAGTCCTGACGGACAGCACTTACCACTGGTTCCCTCGTGGCGGGCAGGGGTTACCGCCCCCCATGCCTCCACAATGTGCCTCACAAGGGGCCTCCTGCTGTGCCTAAGCCAAGTTCAGTGTTGTAGGAATCTTTTGCTTATTTCCTGTCTCTGTCTCTGTATACCATTTTGAAAGAAAAATGAATTTTGCTGAAAATAAGAAGTATAGTCGTGGGACATTTAATACGCTATGGCAATTGGAAGCAGTAACATGCTGGTGACATAGAACGTGTTCTATGATTGTGGCTGTGCTTTGCCAGTAGATATGGAAAATGTAGTATCAGTTAGTTCCATGGAGGAATGCTTCACTAGAAGGCCAGCATTACTTACAAATAAGAATCTTATGAGAAAGGTGTGGTGCACTCCCAGCACTAGGGAGGCTAAGCAAGAATATTACCACAAGTTTGAGGCCAGCCTGGTCTATATAGCGAGACTTTGTCTCAAAAGTAAAATCTATGAATTGCAAACTCTTCTTTTAGTTACAATAGGGTCAAACAGCCAAGGACACTGTCACAGCTCCTCAAACAGTAATTCCTCTCCCCTCTCCCCCTCCCTAGCCTCTCTTTTCGAATGGCTTTGAGACCCTTCCTTTTCCTGTATCATACTGGCATTGTCCTCTGCCTTCAGTATTACTCTCTCATTATGTATAGTCAGATGACAACTGGAAAAAAGTTTAAAAACTGACCAAAATCCCTAACTGCTAATGAGTCCTTTTGGACTAAGTTTGTCCCAATGGGTCTGGCTCCAGCAAAGAAGAAAGCAAAATATGTACTAAATTCAAGCCTGATTCTTTTATGTGAAAAGCTTATCTCTTTATACTTTTGTTGAAAGTTCAGTTAGGAACCAGATACTTCACTGACCATTCACTGTGGGCAGAGCCCTGTGTTCTTAGGCTCTGGGGTTCAAAAGTGTCGCTACTCTGTTCCTGCCCTTTCAGATCTCACAACCTGGTCGGAGGATTATAGTAATCATCAGTTTGCACAGAAGGTAGAGAAGGTACTAAATACTGTGTGTAGAAGATTTTAAAAACATTTCTTATCCAGGTGAAAATATTTTTCTGAAATTTTTAATGTCAAATCCTCCTTCACTGGCAGAGATGCGGGTGTGTACGTGCATGTACGCCTGGCAAACATATGATGAAGATTTTCTTAAGAAAATGAAGAAATGAAAGTACTTGTGGGAAAGGCACACACATCCCATTATTTAACTGTTTCTTAAACTGCAGTTTTAAGATGACAAAGAGTTTTATGATGTCTAGTTTATTAACTTTTCTAAACCAATTTTTTAAGATAGTGTTTTTGCCTTCATATGTACTGAATAGCTATTTCTGCTTTAATGACTTGCCTTTTAGCAATTGTTCGCTAATGTCACTGGGTTTGTCAGAAGCTCTCATATGACGCCTTAGGAAATTCTTCCTGTGGATGTACAATGTTTTTGCCAACTTGTTGCCTAGACAATAAGATAAGGACTATTTGCAGTCTAAACAAATAGTATTATCGCTACTGAAGATTTTATAGTCCTTGATTGGGACCAGCCCTGATTGCCTTAACACCACAGAATTTCCTGGCATTAACAGTGTAAAAATAATTCTCCTTTTCTCATGAAGCTGCTTTTTCACTACAAATGTTTCTAAATTTAGTTTTTTGATTCATCGTTTCTCCATAATTTTCTTCTCTCACACATTTCAATTCTCTTCACAAGATTTTGCTAATTTACAAGTTTAAAAAAGATATATCATTAATACTGTTAAAACAGAAAATATACATATTTCAGTTTGACAATCAAATGTAGTAACTGTGGATTTTTTGGTTGTTGAACAGTTGTTATATAACAATTACTGTGTCATAGTTTGTCATGCATTATATGAAAATCAACTCTAACAGCCTAATTCCGGGCTACTGTGAAGCTGCTTGGTAGCTCTGTGAGCGAAAGTGACACCATGGTGACAGAAGATTCAGTGCGGCTGCATGCACTTACCAAAGGGAGCTGACACGGCTTTCCCTGCAGGCTTGTGCACAGATCCTGTTCTATGAACTCTGGAAAAAGGCCAGACAGCATTGGACTTTCCAGTGTTGAACTTAACGGTATACAGCATCTTACCATTTATAATGGGAAAATTTTAAAATCAAAAATGTCTAGTTTTACTTAAGGGAAGGATATTAATTTGTATTAACAGGAGGTCAAAACTGTTCAACAAAGTCTGTTTTGTGGAGCAGTAACTTCAGGTAGTTGAAACATGATTTTGAGAGGAAGCTAAAATCTTTGTGGCCTAAAACTGATGACTTGAGTTGAACTAGGATGCGTTGGAGATGGGCACTCTTATTCAACAGAGCAAAAGAGAAGGGAATTTTGACTGCCAAATAAAAGTTCCACAGAAACAAAAGATTATATTATGGGAAATGAAATTCTTGGTATATGGAGTCACCAGATTTCCCTGATGTCTGAGGCTGATCAGCTTCTCACTTGACCCGGGTCTAGAAGGAAGTTCATAGGATTTCTCTCTAATATTTGTCATGTCTCGCCTTTGTAAGCCAGTGGTCTTAAATTTTGTGAGTCACTGGCCCTATACTAGGTGGAAATTCTCTCCTCAGGAAAAAAAATGCTAATTCAAACTTTTCCATGGAATTGAAGGAAAATTTTTCTCCTTCAAAATTCTCCATAAAGGGCCGGGGATATAGCTCAGCAGCACAAGCGCCTGCCTGGCAAGCACAAGGGCCTGAGTTTGATTCCCACTACCAAAAAAAAAAAATTCTCCATAAAATGTGTTTTATTCTACTGTACATCATGGAATCCTACCAAAGAACCTCTATTCCACACTGGACTCCAAGAAGGTGTGGAACCAGTGGAGGAGTCATTATATTCATGCTTTTTAACAAATAACAGTAATAATAATAATACTGATATGCATGTATGTATCTATCTATCTATCTATCTATCTATCTATATATATATATCATATAGCAGTTATTAAGCACTTAATGAGCACACATTCTTTTCCAAGCAAGGTATAGATAATTTAAGCTTTATTGCAACTGTTGAGGTCAGTTTTACCTTATCCCTTTTATATGGAAGAAAACATTTCAGAACAGCTACATAACTACTTCAAGAAATGAACTCTGAGGTGATAAAGCAAGATTCATACCCAGATGTTCTGACACAAAGACCTATTCGTACATGAAGGAAGAAATGGATTGGTTAATTAAAATCCTGTCCAAGTATCTTAAACCTTGAAATAGTAGGTTTAAATTACATCTTCCTTAGGTTCTACCCTTATTTAAATTTACCTAGGAGACAGTAACTCAGATTTCCTGTAGTTCAGATTCACAAGAAAAAAACATATGTCATTCTACAGTTAAGCAAGGAAAAGCCACTAAATTCCAGCTTTTCAGTTCTGTGGATTATAAAGACCAATAACTTCCTGATAGTTTTTTTTCATTCATTCCTTTTTATTAGGAAAAAGAACTCTATCCCACAGTTACTGAGGCAAAATTTCTAAACATCTAAGATAAATATATCTCATCATGAAGTTAGTTTTAAAGGTGGATCACAGATTTTTTCAATATTGGCTATTCCCACTAAAGAAATGAACACTATTGCAAGATTTCTATCTCACCTTCCCTTCACAACTGATATTTTTATTATGATTTTCCCCATTTTTAGTTTTGTATTTCATTTAATTTCTCCCTAGCCTGTAAACTTGATGAGCTTTCTATAAAGAAAGCAAGGAAAATATATAAAGGCAGAGTAGATTTTCCAGGTGGGTTCTCCCAAGCTCTCAGCTCTCTCATTAGAATAAAGATTTTACAGTTACATCTGCATGGGCCTTTAAAAAAAGAAAAAGCCATGTAAAAGAGAAATATAGAAAAGAGTCCTAGATATGTCGTCAGCCTCCACCACCATCATCCAGATGTAAAATGGATCTGAGAACATTATAAACACCTATAGCAAGACCAAGCATGAACAAAACATTCCAGCTCTCTTGACGACTGCATCAAAAGTCACTGTCCTTCAAAAGATGAAGATATCCTTACCAATAACCATTTATGGTTAAAAGTATCCATTCCAAATTTGTATATTTCATTATATTATTCTTGAGGTTCAATCAGTTCACAAGAATTAAAGAAAGTGGACAGCTAAACGTGAGTGTGACTCAATATGTTTCTGGTTGAGCGGGAAGCGGAGGGGAAAACTCCATTTCATATCATGTTGCAAAATCATTTCTCTGGGGTTATATTTTTTACTTTCTAATCACTAAATTTGTTAATTATATAAATACTGTCTAATACTTATCTATCCAGGAGCACAAATGTCTGCATAGAATTGTCGAGTAAATGGGCAAAGGACTAACATGGTACACTGGACGCTCAGGGGCTGCTACTTTCAGAATAACAGGTCGCATTATTTTTTTGACAAAGGAAACTTAAACATGATGTACAATCAACTCAGGATGTTTTAAAATCATTTTTTGGGCCTCTTCTCTGATGTACTTGCTATGGAATAAGAAGGGGGGAAGACGTCAAAACCACCTAAATATCTAAAACTAAAAGTTTCCTCATAAATCAAAAGTTCAAGATTATACCTATACTGCAGCAACCCAAAATGCAGATCCAAAGCACACAGTGTCACTCTGGCTTCTGAATTAGTATTTAATTAGACAGATAAATAGCTAGGTAACTTAAAAATATAAAATCAATAGCCAAGAAAAGAGTAAGTTTTCTGTTTATTAGCTTCCCTATGGAATCAATCAAACCATTCCCAAAAAGATGTATGTTGTGCTTACATCATTGGAGGACAAGTTTACATAATTAAAGGACTCATTCCTTAGAAGACTTATAAATTTCTAAGAATAAAAAAATATAACTCGCTCCCAGAACACTGACCTCAGCAGCAAACCCACCATACATTCATTCACCCAGAGACAGATACTGACCACTAAAGCCCGGTGCCTTTCTATATATGAGAGATGGAGAAGAGCAGGCCTGGCAAGCTCTGATTTTCTTATTTGGCATAGATACAAGTATGAAATTGTGCCCAGTAAGCAGGCCACGAGCAAGGTAATTTCATCAGGTGACAAACTGTACTTGGAAAAATGACAGGTGGGCTAGAGTATTTAGAGGAAGCTAATCTGAAGTCTAAGAAACTATAATGTGAGCTACATACGACATACAGGGCAGGAAGCAACTAGCTCTGAAAATCAATGGAGAGAGGGAATTTCTGGCAATGGGTACAGCAAGTGCTCAGCCTGTCAGGCAGGGGAGAGTGGCAGATCAGAGAATCAGAAGGGCAGAACAAGTGAGCAAAGATGAGAATTTGTGGAGTAGAATCAGAAAGGGAGGCAAAAACACAATGAAATCTAGCCAGACAGTCAAGGCATCTAATAAAGATTTTATTCACAGGCAGCTCATGGGAGAGAAGAGTTTGGGGTGTGGACTCGAGCATCAGGCCTTCCTCTCTAGGACTCCTTAAGTTGTATTCAACCCAGACAATCAGCCCCTACCTAGTGTTTTTCATATTTGCCAAAACAATTCACTTTTTCGATGTGCTTCTCTAACCTATCCACTGCCCCTAAGCCCTTAGTTTTATCACTTTAAAATCTACCCTAGAACCCTTGGGCCTCTACCTTCAACCAAATTTCACCCTAGGTCTCTGTTTCCAAACACTGTCTACTGGAAGAAATACACACCTGCCCTCTGCCCCAACCAGGAGGGACCAGAGCAGCTGGTCCTGTTCATCCAGCTCTCTATTAAGGAAAGCAGCTGGACAAAAGGGAGGTCCACACACTACCCCCTATAGCCCAAAGACTGTTGGATGGAGCAGCTATGGGCAGGAACAGTGATGCCTATCACCACGTGGACAGCCAGGGAGGACAATAATTGCTAGAGGGAAAGACTTAACATCACAGCCCTTACCCCTCTCAACCTCCTAGAGGGGAAGCAATTTTGTTTAGCGCATGAAGTTCCATATTTTGCCTAGTGGGGCTGCTGTTTGAAGTCTCTACCGCTAGAGTGTAACTATAAAAACTACACTAGGCTGACCTTTTATCTTTATGTTTAAGTAGTACATAGTAGTTTCTCAAATAATATCAAATAATTACTGATATCCATAATGATTTGTGTTCAGTAATATCTATTGCAACATAAGGGGAAAATCAGAAGTTACCTAAAAGTCCAAAAGTGAAGGAATGTTTAAATTAATTACAGCATAATCATAGTATAGGATATAGGTCATAGTATAGGGTATATGTCATATAATTAAAAGCTTTTTTAAAAGGCATGTTATATAGGAAATCATTTATAACATACTGCTAAATTTAAATAATGACACAAAATGTGTGTCTTGGGATAAAACTATAAAGGTGTGAGTGTGTGAGTGTGTGTATGAGGGAGCACTATATCTTCCATCCCATTTCCCTTTCAGCAGTGTTCCTGACTTGACTTTGTTCGGTAATGACACGGCCTAATTTATCTGTTACAGGTCTATTTTCTTATCATGGGGTTTTTGGCATTATTAGAAATTCATTCCATCTCATTCTCAGAATTATCCTTCTGATTCAGCAATCCCACTCCTGGGTATCTATCCAAAGGAAATGAAATAAACATACTAAAGAAATACATGCATGTACATTTATCACAGCACCATTCATAATAGCTAAGATATGGAATCAGCATAAGGGACAATCAACAGATGAATGGACAAAGAAAATGTGGTGTATACACAAAATGGAGTTATTCAACCATGAAGAAGAATGAAACCTACTATTTGAAATAACATGAATAGAATAGGAGGACATTATTTGAAGTGAAATCAGCCAGACAGAGAAAAACAAGTACTGCATGTTTTCACTTATATTTGGAAATTAAAAAAAAAAAATTGCCCTCAGTGTTGAATACTATTTACTAGAAGCAAGGAAGCAGGAAGGGGTTGCTGTGGGTGAAAGGAGAGTGGATTTGATCTATGCACACTGTATGTACGAACTGAAATATCCCAGTCAACCCTATTAATATACAAAATTAAAACTGCTAATTTAAAAAACTTTTAAAGCATTCTTATTTTGTCGATATATTATAAAGTCACGCAGTCACTCCGCATCTGGGGAGGCCGAGCTGTGC